ATTCACAGCACAGAAAAACAGTGCAGGCCTGTGGGACAGCGGTTGATCCCGCCTCACTGTGGGCACATTGACATAGGGCCCTTCTCATGTCTCTCTCATCCATCTTTCCTCAAACCAGGGCACAATGCAACCTGCCCTTTTAAAGAGGCCGTTTGTCCATCCCATTTACAAAAGGCAACATTTTTTTATGGATTTTAACAGACATTTATAAACATGTTACATTACCACCTGTGTTGTAACATTTATCAGGTACTTTAGAACATGAAGAAAGATTAGATATCTCAAAAAGTACTTGCTATGGTCAACTAAATATTGCATTAGTGAAGAATGAAATGTCTCCCCAGAACAATAGTTGTAATATAAAAATATATTCTAAGTATGACCAATCTGGCACAGAACTGTTCTTCTGAGCACTGAATTCAGCTGTAGCCTAAATTTGGGGGCTTTCCCAGCTCCCCTAGACCTCATTCATGAACCTCTGAGAGGCTGAGTTAAGAATCGCCCTACTTAATATTTTTATGTGCTTCTCACTGATCCTGTAATTGATTCACTAACGGAGAGAAGGCCTTTACTAACTCTTTTAATGCTTTCCAAGTGGGGCTCTGCCTTGGAGAAGTGTATTTTCCGTTATTGAACTGTCATTTTGCCCTGAGTCTCCTCCTAGGAGAGGAAAGTGTTTGACTCCCAAGGTTCCTGGCATTTTTTGAAAGAACTCTGAGCCACAGCCAGCTTTACTTTGGCAAGTCATTCCTTCCCTTTCTTTCCCTCTTTCCTTTCCCATGGAACCTATTCCTTCCATCTGTCTCTCAAATTCTGCTTTATGAATAGCAATTCAAGTTTTATTTTCTTCTTGAATGCACGCTCTCTGGAAAAGAGGCTTTTCACCAAGAATGTGGTGTCTGATTGCTATCTTGCCAATGGGTTAAACAAAGATCTCTATGCTGGGTAAAATTTTTACAAACCCGCTCACACATGCCTGCTCTTCTCAAACTTGACTAAAGCCAACAACATACTCATGAAAGTATAAGGGATGAAAAAGTTCTTCCCCAAGCAACTGAGAAACGACTTTGACATAATTTGATAAAATTATTTCTATTTTGCTTCTGGTTTTCCTGGAATGCACTAATTCAGATAGACACATGCAAAGCAGGCCCTATATCTACATATGTGAAGAGATAAGTGAACTCCTCTATTCAGGTTATTTATCACCCAATGTTAAATAACCTGAAGTTTGAAAAACTCAGTTAATAACTTGTACGTGCTGAGAACTTTCACAAAATGAGGAGCATAAATATTCATTGTCCCTTGTCTGCAGAGTAGCATATAAGACACTAGGAAGATCTTAGTTTTGCTTTCAACTTTTTCTTCAAGGGCATAGTGGACAGTTACTCTTCTCTGGGTTCCTTAGTGCCACAAAAAATCAACAGGAAAAGAAACATGCACACAATTAGCATCTTGACTATCCCAGAGCCAGTCTGTGTACATGGTCCTGAAGGGTGCCGGGGCACTCTGGCCAACTGCCATCTGAGACCTTTGCTTGGTCCTGCACGTGGTATTCCAGCAGAATCAAAGCCAGGAAGTCAAACTCCCTTTCTTTTCTCATGCTTTTCCTTCTGCAATTTTTAAATTTCTGTCTTCTCCTCCTACCACCTTCCAGAGAGTTAGAGAGAGCTCTACGTACAGGTAGAGGAGAGAAATGATCACTGAGGTGCTCTGAAGGATGTGAGAACGGTCTTGAAGGCCCAAATTCCCTTTTGCTGCTGTGACAAATTCCTTCGAGTGCTGTTCTCCAGAAGAGCCACACATGTAACTGTTAACTATAGCAACGCTTGGGAGTTAATTGATAATTTAACCCTTTAGAAACCTCTCAGTTGAGAATACTTCCCCATCACCCTTGTTTTTCCCACACTGGCCTTCCGTTTTCCTCTTTATCACAAATCTTTATATGAAAGTTTCAGAACTTCCCCAGGAAGTACATTTGATGTGAGGCTGAATGGCCTTTGACCCTTGAGAGAAGGCCAGGGATGTAGAAATGCATTCAGGAGAATTTTAAACAGAGGAGGAAGGAAGTATGTGCTGGACACTGTACCTGCCGAAAGCTGATGAGATGAGATAGGACAGGTTGGAACGAACCACTGATGGCTTGAACACTGGACCAGTGAAAACCAGCTTTGCAGACAGGAACCAGCCTGTGGATTATGATCATCCACGCAGCAGAGCAACACCTGTATTGTGTTCTTTCTATGCCAGTGGTTCTCACATGATAGACTGTGTTAGGTTTCATCAGTGAAGCTTAAAATGTCCAGAATGCCCCACACCAGAATCTCGGAGGGTGTGGGTAAGGCTCGTGTATCAGTAAATATATTTCAAGTTGTCTAGGTAATTTCAATATGCCAGCAAGGCTGAGAAATACTCTTCGATGCCAATTATAATTTATTAAATAGCTTTCCTGTGTCAGGTATTGCCAGATTGTTATGGAGTGAATGTGTGTGCCTAACTGCCCAACCCGAATTCATATGTTGAAATCGTAACCCCCAATGTGATAGTGTTAGGAAGTGGGGCCTGTGGGAGGTGATTAGGTCATGAGGATGAGACCTCATGAATGGGATCAGTGCCCTTATAAAGGAGACCCCAGAGAGCTCCTTCTACTCCTCCACCATGTGAGGACACAGCAAAAACATGGTCATCTATGAGCCAGGAAGTATTTCTCACCAGACGCCCAATCTGCTGGCACCTTGCACTTGGACCTCAGGCCTCCAGACTGTGAGAAATAAATGTCTGTTGTTTAAGCCACCCAGTCTATGTTACAGTGGCCCAAATGGACTATGACAGATACAGAGCATACAAAGATGAAAAAACTATCCCAGTATTTGAAGGGGACACAGTTTAAGGGCTAGATAGTCAAAGATGGGAAGAGCCTTGTGCATTTGATCACTGGCTCCCTCTGTTTCTCATTTGCTTAGGGACCACTTGGCTGCCTTTTCTAAAGGCAGTTGCCATGTGCTCAAACTTTGCTAGGAACATAAAACAGCCAGGACTTCAGCCTGCCTCACAACAACCACTGTACATTTCCCGTAGAGAATCTCAGTGGCTTTTACATTTTTGGTGCCATTGCTCTTTTGTATAAATTAGCATAACCAGTCAAGATTTGGAAGTGGGTTCTGTCCAAGATGGAGGATGCTTCACCTCCTCACAGAACCAAAAGAAGGAAACAATCAATTAAAAAAAACAAACAAACAAAAAACCCAGAACTGCCAAAAAATCAAACTGTGTGGAAGTCTGACAACGAAGCAGTTAAGAAGGAAACATTCATTCAGACTGGAAGGAGTAGAGGAGACAGGCAGCTGGGGCAGAGATGTTTGGCAAAGCAGCGGCTGGTGAACCGGCTGGTCCCACATTCATGTGCGGATAAACTTGGAGAAACAACTTGGGAGTGAGACAGACCACGCAACCCAGGGTTTCAGTGTGTGCAAGGTAAGGCCTCAGAACTTCTGGCTGTAAAAACCTGTGGGGGTTGTGATGGCAAGAGAAACTGCCAGTCTCGTGAAAACTGAGTGAGAACTGAGCAACCAGCACCATTCCCTCTCTTGACTCCTCCTTCACATACAGTGCCACAGCGCAACAAAGTGGGTCGCCCCACCCTGGTGAATACTTACGTCTCCACTCCTTATAATGTAACAGATATGCCAAGACAAAGAAATATAGCCCAAATAAAAGAATAGATGAAAACTCCAAAAAAAAGAAGTAAGCAATGAAGAGATAGGCAACCTATCAGATGCAGAGTTCAAAACACTGGTGATCAGGATGCTCACAGAAATGGTTGACTATGGTTGCAAAGTAAAGGAATAAGTGAAGGTAATACAAACTGAAATAAAGCAAAATATACAGGGAACCAACAGTAAAGGGAAGAAACCAGGGCTCAAATCAACAATTTGAAACAAAAGGAAGAAATAAATGTTTACCCAGAACAGAATGAAGAAACAAGAATTAAAAAAAAAAAAAGAGAAGAGGCTTAGGAACCTCTGGGCCAAGTTTAAACTCTCCAACATCTGAATCATAGGAGTGCCAGAAGGAGAAGAGGAAAAGCAAGAAATTTAAAACTTAGTTGAAAAAATAATAATAAAAACCCTCCCCCAATCTGGAGAAGGAAATAGACATACAAGTCCAGGAAACTCAGAGAATCCCAAAAGAGTTGGACCCAAAGTAGGAACACACCAAGATATGTCATAATTAAATTACAGAAGATTAAAGATAAGGAGAGAATTTTAAACGCAGAAGGAAAAAGAATAGAGTTAACTACAGATTTCCCAAAAGAATATCAGCTGATTTCTCAAAAGAAACCTTACAGAGAAGAAGGGGCTAGAAAGAAGTATTCAAAGTCATGAAAGTCAAGGACCTACATCCAAGATTGCTCTATTGAGCAAAGTTATCATTTAGAATTGAAGGACAGATAAAGTGCTTCCCAGATAAGGTCAAGATAAAGGAGTTCATCAGCACCAAGCCCTTATTATATGAAATGTTAAAGCGACTTATCTAAGAAAAAGAAGAAGATCAAAACTATGAATAATAAAATGGCAACAAACTCACAACTATCAACAACTGAACCTAAAAAAAAAATAAAAACAAAACAAACTAAGCAAACAACTATAACAGGAACAGAATCACAGAAATGGAGGTCATACAGAGGGTTATCAGTTAGGGTTGGGGGAAGGGGAGAATGAGGGAAAAGAAACAGGAAATAAGAAGCATAGTTGGTAGGAACAAAATAGACAGGGGGAGGTTAAGAAAAGTATATTAAATGAAGAAGCTGAAGAGCTTACATGTACGACCCATGGACATGAACTAAGGAGAGGGAATGCTGGAGGGAATGGGGGTACTGGAAGGAGGGGAATAAATGAGGGAAAAATGGGACAACTGTAATAGCATAATCAATAAAATATACTTAAAAATTAGAAGTGGTTACTTTAAAATCATTCCATGTTAATAATAACCAACAACTGGTGCTCACTGCAGCAGCACATATACTAAAATCATAACAACACAGAGAATATTAGTATGGCCTCTGAGCAAGGATGACACGTGAATTTGTAGAGCGTTCCATATTTTTGTTGTACTCAATTTTTGAAGGGATTGAGAAGCACAGATTGATACTTACAAAATAGTCATGGGGATGTAAAGTATAGCATAGGATAATTGTATAGTTAATAGTGGTGTAATAACTATGTATGGTGCCAACTGGATAATGGAAATATCAGGGGAAACACTTTGTAAGTAAGTGATTGTTTAACCATTATGCTGTACACCTGAAACTAATACAAAATGATAAATGTAAACTGTAACTGAAAAAATAAGTAAATAAAGAATGAGATTTAACTTAAAAATTAATGATAATTAACAACTGGGCAATGCTTCATGAGTTTACAAAGTACCTTAATATATTGCAGTGGTTCTCAATCAAGGACAACCTTCCCCTCCCCACCAGGGGACATTTGGCATTGGCTGGAGTCATTTTTGGTCATACAAACTGGGGAGAGTGTTACTCTAATGGGTAGGGACCAGGGATGGTAAATATCCCACAGTGCACAGGACAGCCCCTAATGAAGGATTATCTGGCCTAAATGTCAATAATGCTGAGGCTGAGAAACCCTGATATATAGGATCTCATTTAAATTTTTGCAATGATGGCATGAGTTACATGTTATTAAAATTCCTTTACCAATACAAGATCCGGAGGGCCAGGAGTGATGAGCTCACGTTGAAGATCATAAATCACAAAACTAGGCATCTCAGTCTAAGACTCGTTCTTTTGTTTGTTTGTTAATCCCCAGGTTTGCTGACATATAGTTGACAAATTAAAAATGTGTATATATATATATATATATATACCGGATGATGTTTGAAATACATATATATTATGAAATGGTTACCAGAATCAAGCTAATTAACACATCTATCACCTCACATAATTATCTTCTTTTATATTTTTGTGTGATCACTTTCAAGTATATAAAGAATATTGTTAACTATAGGCACCCTACTGTATATTAGATCTCCAGAAATTTTTCATCCTGTAGAACTGAAGCTTTGTATTCTCTGAGCAACATCTCCCATTTCCTCTTCCTTCCAGCCCCTGGCAACCACCATGCTCCTCCATGATTCTATGAGTTTGACTTAGATTCTACATGTAAGTGAGATCATAGAGTATTTGTCCTTCTGTGTCTGGTTTATTTCAATTAGCACAATGTCCTTCAGATTCATTTGTGTTGTTACAAATGGCAGTATTTTCTTTTTTATGGTTAGATAATATCATTGTATGTATATATGTGTATATATACCCCATTTTTTTATTTTTCACTCTCCATTATTTATTTATTTATAATTTTTTATTTAATTATTTTTCAAATACATTTTTTTTGTCTGTTTCTCCCATCCCAGCACCCCCCCGCCCGTCTCCCCACCTCCCTTCCATTTCCCTCCCACCCCAATCCTCATCTCTGTGTCTTTCATACTTGTTCCTCAAAATCCCTCCCCATTTTTCCCCTTAAATTCCCTTCCCTCTCCCCTCTGGTCACTGCCCACTTGTTCTCTATTTCAGTGTCTTTGTTTTTATTCTGTTTGCTTGTTTGTTTTATTGTATATACCCCATTTTTTAATCCATTTATCCATCAAGGGGCACTTGGGTTGCTTCCATGTCTTGACTATTGTGAATAGTTATGCTGCAATGAACATGGGGCTGCAACATCTTGTTGAGATACTGATTTCCTTTCCTTTGGATAAATACACAGAGGTGGCATTGCTGGATCGTAAGACAGCTATACTTTCAATCATTTGAGGAAACCTTGTACTGGTTTCTATAGTAGCTGTGCTGACCCCAGTCCCAGAAACAGTGCACAGCATTCTCTTTTCCCCACATCTTTACTGGAGCTCGTTATCTCTTGTCTTTGATGAAAGCCACCCTAACAGAAGTGAGGCGGTATCCCATCATTTACACACACACACATACACACACACTTCCAAGTGCAGAAAAGTGTAAATTTAAAGATAAACTTATACAAATAATTCATTCCACATATATTGGCTGATATATGAATATACAATACTTTCAGAAACAAATAGAAATGAACTATGTTTATACGAATACATAAATTCTTCACATTTGAAAAATATGACCAATTATAATGTTTTGATTTGCATTTTTCTGAGGACTAGTGATGTTGAGCACCTTTTCATGGACCCCTTGGCCCTCTGTCATCTCAGCTTGTGTGACTGCAGACCAGCTACATGCAGAGCCCTGGCGGTGAGGAGGCCAGGCAACCATCATGTGCTTCTGCCTAGATTAGACACTCTCCACGGAGTAGAAAGTTTATGGGGTCACTTCAATTGAACAAAATTATTTTCTTGACATAGTTCGACTACTTGGTCTTAAAACATGTTATCAGGTTTAAGGCATGGACATTTTGGCGTCTGCACATTTTATTTGGCTCTTTTCATTTTTGCTTTAATTATAGTTGAGAATATTTTGGCTGGCACAGAGAGAGCCAACTGGACTAATCTCTGACCTTGTCCTTGAAAATCCACTACTAGGAGCCAAACCATCCGAAAGCTCCATGCCTCGCGCCTGCCACAACCTAATTGGAAGGCAGAAGCCCCTCCTCTGCACTTGGTGTGGGCAAAGCTGGCTTCCGATAGATTCCCTGGAGCCAGGTTCATGGAAGCAACCACAGGCAACAAAGCCTGCACGGGCCTGTGCCACGCTGGGCTTGGGGTCACAGGGGATACTGGCCAGATTTAGGATGCACAGCAAAGCTGCCCGACTGCTGGTTCAGTCCAAGCTGTAAATCCAGAGGCTGGAATCCAGAAACCTTCCTTGCTGTATAACTCAAGAAAAGTCTTATTTCTTTAAGCCAGTAGTCCCCAGCCTTTTTGGCAACAGGGACTGGTTTTAACACAGACGCAGGCATGGGGCAGGGGTGGGGTGATTCACTAGTTAGCTGCTCTCATCTCTTGCTGTGGACCGCGTTGGAGTGGGTCCAGGGGGCGGGGGTGGAGACAGGAGGCGGAGCTCGGGCAATCTTCCCTTGTGGCCCGGTTCCTAACTGGCCACAGACTGGTACAGGTCCGTGGCCCCGGGGGTTGGGGACCCCTGCTTTAAACCACTGTTTTCCCAACTGAATAGCAGGAAGATTTTCTAATCTGTTTGTGCAAGTCAGGGTTCTCAAAAGAAACAGAGCCAATATGTATCTATATACACACATACACATATGTAAATATATACAAACTATAAGGAATATGTATTAATTATAAGAAATATTTTATATACATATTATAAGGTTTGGCTCATGACAAATATGAAGGCTGAGAGGTCTCAAGATCTGCGATTGGCAAGTGGAGCCTCAGGAAAGCCAATGGTGTAGTTCCAATCTGAGTCCAAGTCCTACACCAGGAGAAAAATCCATGTCCCAGCAGGAGACAGACAGATTGGAGACTAAATAATCTGCTTTACTCAGTGTATCCATTTAAGCTAATTTCATCTACGGCTATTGACTAAGTATTTGTGTGGTTCAAATTCTAACGTTGAAACCTAATGCCCAATGTAATGGTATTAGGAGGTAGGGACTTTGGGAGGTGATTAGGTCACGAGGATGGAGCCCTCATGAATGAGATTAGTGCCTTTATATAAAAGAGACTCTAGGGAACTCTAAAGAGCCCCTTCTGCCATATGAGGTTCCACTGAAAAGACAGGTATTTAAGAGCCAGAAAGCAGGCCCTCACTAGACACTGACTGTACTGGTGCCCTGATCGCAGACTTCTAGCCCCCAGAACTGTGAGAAATAAAAAGATTTTCTGAATGCTGAATTACACAGCTGTACTAAAGATACAAGGTCAAATATAGTGATGAAAATATTTCTAATGCCTGAATTGATGACTGTTTTTTCAGGAGATATAATGTACACATATGTAGAAGAGTCTATATTTGAATTTTGAACAATTAGTTTTATTATATTCATGAGGTTTATTTATCAAAAGACCTCTGTTTATGCATCTTAAAATACGTATTCTCTGAGTTCTGAGTTCTTAGATGAAATGTTTTGAATGTTATCTTTTTAAATTAAAAACAAGTAATTACCGTAGTGTTCTGGCAAAAATAGCGCAGTGCTATGGATTTATGGATTGAAGAACAAAAATGTTCTTGTCAGACTGAAATAATCTGTATCTTCCACAGTAAAAAAGAATTCCATGATAGATTATAATATTGTTCAAAGTAGCAGCTGCTTTTTTCTGGGCAAGGATTTTAATCCCCACCCCATGATATCAGGCTTGGCCATGTGACTTTGGCCCACGAGGTCACTGTGGGTTTTCACTGTCCCCCTTTTATGTCTGTCTGTAGATAGGCTATGTTTCCGATCAAGGCTGCCACCAGCTCGGGTTCTGGACATGGAGCTGAGCCTGCCACAGACATAATGCGGGCTAGAAATAAACTGTGTGCTGTTGTAGGCCATTGGGATTTTGAGGTTGCCTTCACTATAGCATGACCTAGCCTGCCCTGACCGTTAGGTGACCTAAAATTTTCCCTAAACTAATTTCTGTTCTTGGCGAGGTTTCCCCAGATTGAGAAATTAGATCAATTCAAAGGATGCATTTGCTTTTCATTGCACGGAGGATACATCAAAAAAGGAAATGGCCTTAACCCAGATTTCAGGGAAGAAAAAGCCGACAGATTATTCACAGAAAATATATAAGGGTATGGGTTTTGAACTTAGCTTGAGTTCAAATTCTGGTACTACCACTCACCTGTTGGATAGCCTTAGGAATTTACCCAATCTTTGTGAAAGTCCATTTTCCCTTCCATAAACCTTGAATAAAAATACTTATACTACAAGATTGTGTGAAGAGTAAATTGTATTATATATATAAAGCACTTAGCATAGCGTAGGAGCCTAACACTATGGGTTTACAAGATATAAGAGTTGAGCAAAGTATAGTTATTATTAACATTTGTGTATACACACATAGAGATATTTAAATGACTTAGTCTGAATGCCGATAAGTCATTCACAAACATAGAAATGTAATAACTTAAATCACTCACTAGTTAGCATAACTGTG